TATGTTCATAGCAGCACAATTTACAATAGCTAAGATTTGGAAACAGCCTAAGTGCTCATTGGCAGATGAGTGGATTAAAAACCTGGGTGCATCTACACAATGGAATACCACACTTCTATAAAAAAGAAAGAACTCTTACCATTCACAACAGCATGGATAAACATGGAGAGCATTATGCTAAGCGAAATAAGCCAGTCGGAGAAAGATAAATATCATATGCTATCTCACTCACTTGTGGAATATAATGAACAACATAAACTGATGAATTAAAATAGATCCAGAGATAGAGAAGCATCCAACAGATCATCAAACTTCAGAGGAAAGGTGGGGAGGGGTGTGTGGGGGGATGGGTAAGAGATCAACCAAAGGACTTGTATGCATGCATATAAGTATAACCAAGGGACACAGACACTAGGGGGGTGAGGGCATGTGCTGGTGGCCAGGGAGAGGTCAATGGGGGGAAAAGGAGATATTTGTAAGACTATATGTAACACTTTAAACAATAAAGAATTTAAAAAACAAAAAGAGGACACTTTACCCTATGAGCAAGAACAAGGTAAGTATGTCCTTGCTCATTGCTCCTATTAAACATCATACAAGAAGTCCTAGCTTGTGCAATAAGACCAAAAAGTAAATAAAATGTATACAGAGTGGAATGGAGGAAATATAATTGTTTCTATTTGCAGATGACATGATTGTCTATATAGAAAATGCCAAAACATTGACAATTTCCTGGCCACAAAGTTTCAAGATGTAAGATTATTATACAGAAGTTAATTATTTTCCTACATATCAGCTATGAACAATTAAAATTTGAAATTTAAAAAAATTTTTGTAACAGCACTCCTAAATTGCAGAATGTGACAAAAGAATGTAAGTGTATTACAAATATGAAACAACCTTACTGAGAGGGATGGGAGGAATAAGGGGCTGACATAAGTAAGTTTGGAAATGAATGTAGTCTATAAGACTATAGGCAAAATTTTCTCTGTATATTAATATTAAAATATATAAAGAAGTAAACATATATAAAAATGTATATACCCTATATAATTAAGAGGGAATATGCAAATTGACCATACCTCTGCCACAAAGATGGCAGTGCCCACAGCTGAGGCAGGGGGTTTCCATAACACAAGATAGCTATGCCCACAGTGGAGGCCAAGTTCCCTTAATGAGCAATCACCAGGGACCTCAGGCTGTGCCCCCCACCCAGCAGGGCTTGACGGGGGACCTCTGGCCATGCCCCTGCCTGGCAGGGCCTGACAGGGGACCTCAAGGTGTGCCCCACCCCCCCGTGCTCTGGTGCTGAGCCAGGGGAACTCAGGCTGAGTCCCCTGCCCAGTGGGGCTTGACAAGGGGTCTCAGGCCACATCCCCCACCCAACTGGGATTGACTGGGACCTGAGGCTGCGCACCCCACCTGGTGGGGCTTGACAAGGATGGGACCGGCCAGATCTGGATCTAGCCCAATGTGTGTGTGTGTGTGTGTGGGGGGGCAGTCGGGTCTGGGTCTCACAGGATTTTGAGGCGCATGAGGGTGGGCAAGGACTTGACTCTGGGTCCCATGGTATGCCCCAGACTCTGACAGGAAGATGATTTTCATATACATTTTACTAATTTTCTTTCATCTCTGATACTTCTATTATAAAAAAATGGCAGATAGCAATATTAAAATATTTCCTCTAATTAATCCCCTTTTAATGTTCATGGATTTCGTGCACTGGGTCACACACACACACACACACACACACACACAGATTATTATATATCTCCTTACTCAGAGGCCCTAGAAGCAATGATATCCCAACAGTAATGAGTACACCTAGCACCCAGATCCTGGTTTTTAATACTATTCTCCAACTTAAGATATCAGGACTCCTTGGAGAAATGGTTAGTTCTAGAACTTGGGCAGGAAATATGCAAAACTAGTGTATCTTGTAGTGCCAGAAAGAGTTACTTACACACACACACACACACACACACACACACACACATCAAATAGATACAAAAGCCAACTGAAAGAGCTCCCTATGGCCAAAATTAAAACAGGTGCAATCAAAACATTAAAAGTAGCATTAGATTATAATGTGAAGTATCAAATAAATATTAATGAGATCATGCTGATATAAAAAAAATTAATAAAAGGGGAAGAAGTCAAATATCCCATGCAGAATTCCAAATAATTTTAAAGATAGTCTACCCTCAAGTAGGTAGAACACTCCATTCCTTAAGTGTGGACTGTGCATAGTGACTTTCTTCCCAGGAGTACATATAGCCCTGGCCAGCACTGCTCAGAGGCGGGAGGCAACTAACTGATTTCTCTCTCTCAGATCGATGTTTCTCTCCTCCCTCTCTTTCTCCTTCCCCCTCCCTCCCACCCACTCTAAAAATCAATGGAAAAAATATTCTCCGATGAGGATTAACAACAAAAAAAGAGTATATACAATATGGAAAAGGAGATATAAGAGTAACTTTACCATGGAGAATCCTGGCAAACACTACCTCAGTCAGGTTACCAAAGTTAACATCAACAGTGATAATACTGATAGTATATATCCTTTATATGATGTGGTGAGAATGGCACTTTATCTCTGTGGTCCTCTTCCTAAAAGCACTTCACCCCTGTTAATCACAAGAAAAAAAATCAAGCAAACCAAAATTGTGGGACATTATTCTTTTTAAAATACATTTTTATTGATTTCAGAGAGGAAGGGAAAGGGAGAGATAGAAACATCAATGATGAAAGAAAGCAAGCCACTGATCAGTACCTCCTGCATGCCCCATACAGGGGATCGAGCCTGCAACCAGGACATGTGCCCTGACCAGGAATTAAACCATGACTTCCTGGCTCATAGGTCAATTCTCAACCACTGAGCCATGCCAGCTGGGCAAATGGAGGGACATTATACAAAATACCCAACCAGTACCTCTCAAGGGTGTCAAAGGCATCAAAAACAGAAAAAGTCTGAGAAACATAACAGCCAAGAGGAGCCTGAAACAAGGATGATTAAATATAAAGTGGTATCTATCCTGGATGGGATCCTAGAACAGAAAAAGGACATTAGAGAAAAACTGAGGAAATATGAATACAATGTATACTTTGGTAAGTAATAATGTATTAATATAGGTTCACTGTTGCAAATATACCATACTATTTAAATGTTAACAATAGGGGCTATTGAGTCTGGTGGGTGTGGCTCAGTTGGTTAGTCACTGTCCTGTGCACTGAAAGGTTGATGGTTTGATTCCAGTCAGGGCACATGCCTGACTTTCCTGGCTTGATCCCTAGTAGGGGTTGTGTAGGAGAGAGCTGATCATGTTTCCCTCCCACATCAATATTTTCTCTTTCTAAAAATCAATTTAAAAATAGGGGCTATTGAGTATGGGGTACAGAGAACTCTACCATCTTCGCAATAATTCTGTAAAAATCTACGACTGCCCTAAAATAACTTTATTTTAAAAACAATATAAATTGCCAGGACCGGTTTGGCTCAGTGGATAGAGCGTCAGCCTGCGGACTGAAAGTTCCGGGTTCGATTCCGGTCAAGGGCATGTACCTTGGTTGCGGGCACATCCCCAGTAGGGGGTGTGCAGGAGGCAGCTGATCGATGATTCTCTCTCATCGATGTTTCTAACTCTCTATCCCTCTCTCTTCCTCTCTGTGAAAAATCAATAAAATAAAATAAAAAAACAATATAAATTAACAAAAGGCTAATGAAGAACTGGGGGGAGGGGTAGGGGACCACATGGGCCTGTTAAAATGGTAAGGTAGAGCTTAACAGAAATTTCCTGGGAGACTATTCCTTCTTCTTCTTCTTTTTTTTTTTTTAACATAGTTTTTATAGATTTTTTTTACAGAGAGGAAGAGAGAGGGATAGAGAGTTAGAAACATCGATGAAAGAGGTGCACTAGCCTTATGCACAACCCCCACTGGGGATGTGCCCACAACCAAAGTACATGCCCTTGACCAGAATCAAACCTGGGACCTTTCAGTCCACAGGCCGACGCTCCTTCCACTGAGCCAAACCGGTTTCGGCGGAAGACTATCCCTTTTAAGAAAAAAAAGAGTCAGCAGACAAGAAATTAACAGATGAGAATAGCACAGCATCTGGTCACTCAGATTTTTCTCCTGGTTCAAACTCCAATATCTAAATCCAGTGGAAATTGCTGTATGCAAAAAACACACACAAACCAACGAAAAACTTGGAGTGTTTTCTAGGAACTTTATAAAATATTAAGGTCCAAGTGACAAATGGGTACTACCCACCTGAGTTAGGGTTAACTCTATTGTAGACAGAATTCTCCACCCTTCTGTTGAGATACTATAGTGCTTTAGTCCATCATGATCTCCAGCCCACCAATGGGGCCTTAGGAGGGTGCAGGACCCATGAGATGAGGCACAGTGCCCAAGAGACATGGCACTAACCAGGAAAGAGTGGCAACTACCCTTAGCTGCTTGGACTTATTCCTGGACAGAAGTGGAACCTCCCTTAATCTTCTCCCAAACATCAAAACAGGGAAAATTCAGGGGCTCTGGTCCTGGTAGTGCAGGGGAGGGTAGTAGTTAGCCCAATACAGCCATACTCAGTATCTCATCTTATCTTCTCCACAGTCCTGGAAGGCGAGTTTTATCCCCAATTCACAGATGACAAGACTATTCCTTGCAACAATGCATACGTAACTATGAAGTTGATTCTGCCACAACTTTGAGTCCCAGGAGTAATGTTTTACTTACCATTTCACATGCTGATAACAAGAATTTTAAGTGGCCCCAGGTTTTTCATAAGCACTGAACTGTTCTTTTGATTGCTTGGTATTGTTTTCCTATTTTTTATCTTCCATTATTTTTATGATGAAAGTAATAGGAACAAAAAAATTACCCACAGATAACCACTATTAATCTTTTTGTAGACACAGCTTTCAGAGTTTTTTTTCCTTGTACATAGATCATTAGGTCAATATCTTTGCAGTTTTACAAAAATGGACTGATGCCATATATATGGTTCTCCAAAATTTTCTTTTTAATTTTACAATGCATCATAAACATTATTCCATGCAATGGACAAAAATCTGCTACTGAAACATAGAGGGCTGCAGTTGGATAACAAGAGTGACTACTAAACCAAAATATTAGCATAAGGTTAAAGCCCTGGCAAATGCCTGTCATGGGCACTACACAAAAGGAATGTCTTCAAAGCCCCTTTGTGGGGCCCTACAGCCACCCCTGAGTTCCCTAGGGCCTCTGGGGTGGAAGGGGTCCTGTAAACTTTTTTGCATCCACATAAAACCCCCCAATTTCTGTCTGGTTTTCTTCACCTCATCCTCTACCCTAGCCATCTCGTCAAATTCTCTTATCATATCCTCATTGCTCAAATGCATATCATGTATGGCCTCTTTGTATTCCTTGAGGCACTGAGCCAGCCCCTTGTTGGTTTTTCTTTTGGCTTTCTTGGGCGCATCATCCCCAGCTGGGCGCTTTCCTCCAGCCTTTGGTTCCATGGCTGGTTTTCCTTCTTCTTTTGGCTTTCCCTCACTCTCTGGTTTTCCTTCTTCTTTTGGCTTTCCCTGGCTCTCTGACTTTCCCTCCTTCTCTGGCTTCTCCTTATCTAGTATTTCCTCATCTTCTGTCTCTCCCCTGTTTTCTATCTTTCCTTCATTTTTTAGCTTTTCCTTGTCTTCCTGAGTATCAGCTACTTCGGGCTTTGCAGCATTCTGAGGTTGTTCATTTTCCATCTTTCCTTGATTCTCAGGCATTCCTTCATTTACACTGCAGAGTTTTTCCATGTTGAGATGTCCCCTCCTTTTCCTGTCCTGGGGGTGGGATTGGGGGTAGGGAGGAGATACAGAGGAGACAAGGGAGACTGAGGACTTCGGAGTGGAAGGGGGGTCTGGATAGTAATGACATCTTGCCCCTTGTCAGGGTTCCCCTTACCGGGCTCCGCCCTTCCTCTATCACCCTTTCCTCACCATTCCTTCCACACACGTGAGCCAACCATTTCTCTGGCAGGCCCTGCCATTTTCTCTACATTTGCTCGGCATGGCAGTATGTGTGTGAATGTGTTGGAGGTGGACAGTGGGGCCCCAAATTCTGCCCACACTCCCCACCCCTTTGGGACACCCCTCCTTTAACTGACCTGCAGGAATCCTGGACAGGTTCCTTCCTTTTATAGCGTAGCGAGTGCTGAGAACAACAGATACGCAGACCTGCAGGCAGACAGGGGAGACAGGAGCTGGGCGTTCGGTGGATGCACATACCGATACCCTTCCTAAATCCTGCCACTAGTCACCCAACGTTTTCCTCCCCGACCTCCTTTGCTCCCCACACCACAGGAACCATTTCTTTTCAAGCATGGGGCGCCAGATCAGGATGTTTTCCACCCTAATTTTGGTTCTCTGCGTCCTCCTCTCCCTGAGGCAACTCGCCACCCCACCATGGAGGTCCACTTTCTTTCTCTACGCACAGCGTAGGCGAAGGGGTTAATCTCCACGGTCTCACTGCTGGGGTGTCCGCCAGTTCACCGTCTCTCCGGCTCCAAGATGGTCGGAGGACAACGAGAAGGGGGTGCAGAGAAAGGGGGCATGGGTGCTTGGTGGTGTCCGCCTTTCCCACCCTCCACCCATCGGCCGCTAGCTCCCTTTTAGTCCTTTCCCCACCGCCATCTCTAGCTACAGTCAGGCGGCTCCCCTCCACCCTTTCCCCATCCCCAACCTTTTCCCTTTCCGCGCCCATTCCTTCTCGCCCAACCGAAGGCCCTCGCACTGACCTGAAAGAACCTGGAGCAACAATTAGGAGTTCGCAGAAAGCTCCGGGTCCGACTGCAGGAAGGAAGGTGGGCACCCGGACCAGTGCGCACAGCTGCGCCGGCAGGTCACGTGAGCGTGTGTCGTTTCCCCCCCCACTCCCCGCCCCAAGCCCCGCCCATTAGCCCTGGACTGCCAGCCACATGCCTCCTCCTTCCCCCAGGTTCCCCTCTATCTCCGGGGCCCTTTTGTTCTTTTCCTCTTCTTGAGAAGTTTGTCAAAGAAAGAATTTTAATGAAAACCGCAGAGACTTTTTTTCTTCAATGAGGTGGGCTGCCCAAGGGTAGAGTCTTAATAATATTGCTTTTCAATTCCATTGAAAGAACATAGACCAACCCCTATAAAATGGTAAGACTGTGAACTTGAATATTGTACAAAGAGTAGAATGTTGCATTGAGAAAAAAATAGGAACAACATTTCCCTCAAAATGAAATGTTTTTTTTCCTTACATGCACAAACATATTTTTTCTAATGAATTAGTATTTAAATCTAAATGAAATTATATTTGAGGCAAAATTAAAAAATGATTGCATATAACACAATGACCAGACCATATATGATAATAGAACTGTGACCTGCAACCTCTACAGCAAGCAGCCCAAGAAGCCAAACAGCCTCTGCTTCAAACTTCAGGACTTGAACAATGATTGCAGCCAAGCCAGTCATAAAAAATGCCTTGCTTCTAGTTCACGTTCTCCTCCAGGCTCCTCATGCCAATGACCTCCAATCAGAGTACCTGAAGCCTTCCCTGTTTTCTCTCTAAAGTTTTCCTTTTCCCCTGCCTGCCAAACACAAGTGAAAGTGGGTGACTGTCTTGTTATAACAGGATCTAAATAAGTAGCCACCATTTCCACATGAGCTTTTTGTGTGGAAGGCTTTTAAAAATATAATAACAGAGGTGAACACTTAAGGAAAACAGTGCACTAGCTGGCATCAATATTTCTCTGTCTTTACCTCCCTTTTTCACTCTCTAAAATAAATGGAAAATTATCCTCTGGGTGAGGATTAAAAAAGAAAAAAGGACAACAGTGATAGGTTTGATTACAAGAAATTGTGTAATAGATTTGTTGAGGGATTAGGGAACACGTGCACTTTTCCTTGCCCTTGTTGAGTGTGTTGGTAAAATTTTTCTGAAGGGCAATTTTCTATATGGTTTAAAAATAAAAATATTTGCCCTAGCCGGTTTGGCTCAGTGGATAGAGTGTCAGCCTGCAGACCAAGGGCACATACCTTGGTTGCAAGCTTCTCCCTGGCCCGGGCACTGGTCTAGGGCTTACAGGAGGCAACCAATGTGTTTCTCTTACATCGATGTTTCTCTCTGCCTTTCCCTTTCTCTTTCACTCTCCCTAAAAATTAGTGGAAAAATACCCTCAGGTGAGGATTAACAAAATAAAAATATTTGATATTTTGGTTCAGTAATTCCACTTCCAATATTTTTCCAGGAAGATAATAATGTTTTAAAATATAATCTTATGTTTCAAAATATTTTATGTTTTAAAATTCCCATAACAATTGTTTTTTTTAAATATTTTATTGATTTTATACAGAAAGGAAGGGAGAGAGATAGAGAGTTAGAAACATCGATGAGAGAGAGTCATCGATCAGCTGCCTCTTGCACACCCCCTACTGGGGTATGCCCGCAACCAAGGTACATGCCCTTGACCGGAATCGAACCCGGGACCCTTCAGTCCCCAAGCCGAAGCTCTATCCATTGAGCCAAACTGGTCCCGGTCAATTGTTTATTATACATTTATTTTTTGCTGAATCTAAGGCTTCAGGAGTGATTCTGTAGGCTTTGTTTATAATGGGGGGAAATGAAACATCAAAATTGTCCATCAGTACAGATTTAGTTACATAATCTTCTTAGTACATTTGTTTACTTTGGTTATCTTTGGATACTTGGTTAAAAAAATAATAATTTTCTTAACATAGTGCTCAATACACAGTAAATATAATTATTAATTGTCATAATCCCAATTATGAGATTCATTGACTGGCTGCCTCCTGCATGCCTCCACTGGCAATCGAGCCAGCAACTAGGGCATATGCCCTGATTGTGAATCAAACAGTGACCTCCTGATTCTCAACCACTGAACCATGCTTGCTATGTGGGAACTTATATTTCTTTCTTTTAAAAAAAAAATCTTTATTGAGACTATTACAGATGCCCACTCACCCCCATTGTTCCCTCCACCCGGTTGCTGCCCAGCCCCAGGCTTTCAATACCCTAATGTCTGTGTCCATAGGTAAGATCTTTGGTTAATTTCTTCCCCCTTTCCTCTGAGATTCATCAGTCTGTTCCATGCTTTCATGCCTCTGATTTTGTTTTATTTGCCAGTTTATTTTGTTCATTTGATTTTTTATTAATTTATTTTGATTTTTAGATTGATTTGATTATTGATAGATATGTATTTTTGCCATTTTATTGTTTATATTTTTATCCCTTCTTCTCTTCCCCTTCCTCCCCCTCCTCCTCCTTCTCCCCCCTCCTCCTCTTTCTCCTACCACTCCTCCTTCTCCTCCTTCTCCTCCTTCTCCCCCTCCTCTCCTCCTCCTCCTCCTTCTCCTCCTCCTCCTCCTCCTATACCCTTCAACATTTCATATAATACTTTGTTTGGTGGTGATGAACTCCTTTAGCTAAGAAGCTCTTTACCTGACCCTCAATTCTAAATGAGAGCTTTGCTGGGTAGAGTAATCTTGGTTGTAAGTCCTTACTATTCATCACTTTGAATATTTCTTGCCACTTCCCTTTGGCCTGCAAAGTGTCTGTTGAGAAATCAGCAGACAGTCTTATGGGCAATCCCTTGTAGGGAACTAACTGCTTTTCTCTCGCAGCTTTTAAGATTCTCTTATTGTCTTTAACCCTTGGCATTTTAATTATGATGTGTCTTGTGTGGGGCTCTTTGGGTTCCTCTTGTTTAGGACTCTTTGCACTTCCTGGATTTGTAAGTCTATTTCTTTCACCAGATAAGGGAAGTTTTCTGTCATTATTTCTTCAAATAGTTTTTTTTTATTTCTTGCTCTCTCTCTTCTTCTGGCACCCCCATAATGCCAATATTGGTATGCTAGAAGTTGTCCCAGAGGCTCCTTACATTATCTACATATTTTTGGATTCTTTTATATTTTTGCTCTTCTGGTTGAGTGTTTTGTTTTGTTTTTGCTTCTTCATATTCCAAATTGTTGTCTTGGTACCCAGAATCCTCTACTCTACTGTTGAATCCCTGGAAATTGTTCTTTTTTTAAATATATGTATATATTATTGATTTTTTTTTTTTTACAGAGAGGAAGGGAGAGGGATAGAGAGCTAGAAGCATCAATGAAAGAGAAACATAGACCAGCTGCCTCCTGCACACCCCCTACTGGGGAGGTGCCCACAACCAATGTACATGCCCTTGACTGGAATCGAACCTGGGGCATTTCAGTCTGTAGGCCAACGCTCTATCCACTGAACCAAACCAGTTAGGGCTCATTGGTTGATTCTTGCATGTGCCCTGATTATGGATGTTAATTGGCCACAAAAATGTGAGTTTATTTCTGGGCTCCACTCTGTCCCATTGTACGAGACGTCTGTTTTCATGCTGGTCCATGCTATTTTGATTGCAATGGCCTTATAGGATAGTTTGATGCCAGATAGCATGATTCCTCTAACTCTGTTCTTCTTTCTCCATTTAATACTTTTGGATTGTGGTTGACTGCAGGTGACTGAAACCATGCAAAGCACATTCTGGGCTGAAAGAGGACAATGGTGTGGTAGCTGGCTTATATGGTGTCATTGAGCCCAAAGGCCCAATGGCAACAGATTGGAGAATCTGCTTTGCTGTCCTCTGTACCTATTTGCGAACAGGAGGCTGCTTCTGGGATGATCTATTGTTTTGTTTTGTCTTTTAAAAATATATATTTTATTGATTTTTTACAGAAAGGAAAGGAGAGGGATAAAGAGTTAGAAACATCGATGAGAGAGAACCATCAATCAGCTGCCTCCTGCACACCCCCCACCAGGGATGTGCCCGCAACCAAGGTACATACCCTTGATCAGAATTGAACCTGGGAACCTTCAGTCTGCAGACCGATGCTCTATCCACTGAGCCAAACCAGTTTCGGCTGTAAATTGTTCTTTATTTCAGTTAGTGTATGCTTAATTTCTACTGTTCTTTTTCATGTCATTGAAAGTCTCACTAATGTCCTTGAAAATCTCACTAAGTTCCTTGAAGCTCTCATGAAGATCCTTGAATAACCTTGTAATTAGAGTTTTGAACTCTGGATCCAGTAGTTTGCTTGCTTCCATTTCTTTCATTGGTGACATGTTTCTTTGTCTCTGCATTTTTGTTGCTTCCCTGTGTTTGTTTCTATGTATTAGGTAGAGCTATTATGTCTCCTGGAATTGGTAGAGTGGCTTTGAGTAGTAGATGTCCTGTAGGGCCCAGTGGCTCAACTACCCTAGTTACCTGAGATGGGCACTCTAGATGCACCCTGTGTGAACTGTGTGCATCTCTGGGAGGAGTTGACCTCCAGGCAAATTGGCTGTGATTGCAATGGGAGAGCTGCTATGCAGGAGGCAAGGCCCAACTGTGAAAAAAGGCAGGCTGGTGCTAGTGCCAGGTCTTGGGCCTTTTATTGATATATTTGGGGCATTCTGTCACCAGCTACCACTTGTTTGAGAGATTTCACCCGTGTCCCTGCCCACCAGCCTTTCTCCTGTTTACATCACCATTTCCGGCTCTTCACCTAGACCCGCCCGCTTGCTGACAGGACCCCCTTCAGGTGTTCACCTGGCCCCGCCCCCTCGTTGACTTGACTGCCTTCAGCTGTCTGCCTGGCCCCACATCCTTGTTCCAGAAACCCCGCCTCCTCGTTCATTGGACCAATGAGCGAGCAGCACTGACCAGGCTGCCCTGCTCCACTCACACGGGGTCCTACCACCCCACCTCTAGAAGTGGTGTTAGGTGCCTAAAAGCCCCAAGTGCAGATGGCCTTCTACTCACTGGATGCCTCCCACCCAGGGGCCAGGTCCACAAGCATGGGGAGTACAGCCCCCCCCATTCGGACAGCCAGGTGCCTCCATGAGCCCC